AAAAGTGAATCAGTTTTGCTCAGGTTTCATGAGCTTACTGGAGAGCTTTGTCACCACCTGGAAGAGTTACCATTGCATATGCTGGACATTTCAGACGAAACCAAGGAGCAGGTAGGACAAACGTCACAAAACATGTGTGGCCTGTTAATTTGAAATCGGATGAGCAAGGCATATTCTCTCCGTTTGCGCCCGATCACAGTGGCATGAAATCAGATGATCGGATTGGGAAATGTTGAGTGAACTAAGGATTTCTTTCCTGCTGTTGGAAAGCTAATGAAGAGCAAAGGATTTGTTTCGTGCCATGAAAAATATAATGAAGAGTGGATTAATGAAGGATGTCCTTCAGTCCTTCCTGGAAAAAGAGAGTGGACAGAAACAAAGAAGTCAAACCTGGAATCCAAGGAGTTGAAAAGTTAGAATGAAAACTGAAGGACTACAGTATGGAAGGTAGCAAGGGAATAGAGAAGTGTCCCATGATTCCTGTCAGTATATAGCATATGTTGTTGGCCTGGGCACATGTTTAAAGTAGGATTTCTGTACCTGGTTCTTATGGGGTGTGGTTGATATCTGTGAGACCTATGTTAAACCCTGGTCAGTATCTTTCTCAGTGCTCCTCACAGCTTATTCCTTAGCTAAACTAAGCTAATAGCTAGCCCCTGTAGACACCTACGATACTTCCCCGCCTGCATTTCTAACTTCCTCACCCCTTGGCACCTCACACCACACTTTTTCCAACTTCTCTCTTGCCTTTGCAGCCTCCTTCCTCCTGAGAACCTGAGTGGTCACAGGCCTTGCCATTTTTCTTAAAATGTATTAACATTCTTGACTTAAATAGCTTCTATCTTGCACTGTCAATAATGGCGGGGACCTGTTCATCTCTGCAATATGCTTAATTCCTTGCTGAGTAGAAGGTGGGACAAAGTAGGACATGCTTGGGATGTGCAACTGGCGACTGAAGTTGCTAGTGACAACTAGGAAGCAAGGAATACCTGGTGCTTGGAGGAAGAGGTCCACAAGGGTGAGCAAGACAAGGAGGATGAGTAGAGGGAGGGAGGAAGGAGGGGCGGAAGTGGAAAGGATGGTGAACAAGGCAGGACAAAGAGTGCTCGAATGGTAAGGGCGAAGCAGAAAGAGAATCAGATGATGAGTGTTGGTATGGTCAGTGAAATAATTGTGTGTGTAGGAAAAGAGGGCTGGTGACGGGGGAAGATGTCACGCTAGCACTGTGAGGCAGTGATCGAGGAGGACGGGAAGGGGAGAAATGAAATATGTGTAGGAAAGGAAGGCTGGTGATGGGGGAAGATGACACTAGCACTGTGAGGGAGTGATCGAGGATGGGAAGGGGAGGAATGAAGTATGATCAGTTGCTGGAGGGGCAGCTGGGCAGTTCCTTGAAGTGGAAGAAGAAGGTGCAGGGAAGGGAATGAGGTGAAGGACAGTGAAGAGGGGGATGAGTAGGCAAGGGCCAAAAGAGAGGAAAGGTTGAACATGGGAGATAGAGGAGGAGATTGATGGGCAGGAATGGTCACAAGGAGGAGAGGGAGCAGTGACAGAGGTGGAGAGGCAGCGACTGTACAGCAGTTGGTCGAGGAGAGTTGATTTGCTGTCTTTCTGTTTTGGTAGATGTACGATCACTAACACACCCTTGCGACTTTGCAGTGGCAGATGAGTTTGTTTTTCCCTTTTTGCTTGCGGACTTGGAAGTTTGAGTTCTCTGAGCTGGCCCTTGTTAAGGTCAGGGTTCCGCTCTGCAGGTAATGGTAATGGGCCAGTATTTGAGGGGAGATGCATGTGTGTGCAGTTGCATGGGACACTTGTCCACATACGCTCTGTTATTTTGAGGAGCCGGCATCCCTTTCCTTCTTTTTGCTTACCATGTCAAGCGGATGAGCTTTTCATGGATCCAGGGGAATGTGCACCTTGCCGAACATGTTTGAACTCCATGATATGGGGTTAGCATGTCTCTACATGTGCTGGCAATGAGGGGATAACGGACGGGGCGACCCCTTGGCTCTGATAACGCTAGCCACTGATCAGGCGGCCCCTTGTGTGGCTAGCCACTGTGTTGGCTTCTGATCAACTGTGCTGGTAATAATAATGTTTAAACCGCCTGACTGCCCATATGCGAGGGTTTACCCCTCGGCTAAGGTGGGCCCCCTGAACTCCGACGTGCCCGCCCTAAGTGAAGGCGGGCCCCCTGAACCCCGCTGTGCCCTGAGTTCGTCCATTTTTGCAAATCTTGGTGGGCGCCAGACAGTTGCCACGCGCCAGTTGGTTACATCCGCCTTGCTCGAGAGAATCCAAAATACTTGTGAGCCTACCAGGTTCTTCCAGGAACGTGGTAGAAGCATGGAGCACCGAACGTTTGTGCCCAGGCCTATGTCTGAACAGGCCTGGCCGCAGACACTTTGGCCGAGACTGAAGCTACTGGAAACTGGGTCTCACGTGGGAAGCAAGCGGAAAGAGCCCGCCACTTTCCATATAGGAAAGGGCTGGGCTCCGGGCGGCACATTTGGGCACTTGCAATTGCGGGCGGAAGCGCTGCTGGAGCGATCACTTGCGGGCTGCTTGCTGCGCTAGCACTAGCGCTGCGTGCACATGCGGACGTGCAGGGTGCAGGGCGCTGCTGAGGGCAGTGCCATAGCGAGCCCTCATAGCCGGGCATGGCTTGGATATAGACAGTGGAGGTGGTGGTGGTCTTTGTGTTTGAGGGTGAAGGCGTGGGTGAGAAAGTTGAGGGTGAGAGAGAGAGAGAGAGAGAGAGAGAGAGAGAGAGAGAGAGAGAGAGAGAGAGAGAGAGAGAGAGAGAGAGAGAGAGGTTGATGATGTGCGGGCATGTACCTGGTCTTGGCGGTGGTCTACAAGGGTCAACATCTTCATGTACTTCGGTTCGGCTGCTGACGTCAACTGGATGCATTGTCGATTCGTAGGCTGCTAGTAGGCTGTGTGATAGTAGTTTGGGCGCTGAACGCCAAGTAGGAGGTGGATACATATGTTGGTGGTGGCGAGAGTATGCTCTCATTGACATTCGGATTCAGTGCTTTGGTTCTCCGTTGGTGGAATATCAGTGCATTTCTGCCTCCTGAACAGCGTTGGACTTGCTGGCTTTCAATGTGATTTTGCATTCGGGATTTCTGTCATATCGCTATCTCTGCAATCAGACTCGCTCTCATCCACAGTTCGCATGCATGCAAACAGGTGCGCAGCAAACTGGCGACAAGTGCCCACTCAAAACTCAGAGATATGGCAGCCAAGAACACAGTTCAGGTACAAGTTCACTTCGATGGCTATGGCGACTCAGCGCCCACACAACTCTCTGTTCGCACACACAGGATCACCCTGGATATCCCACACACAATACTCTGTACACACACACACTCACACTGCACTCTACCTGCAGCTACGGCGGCTATGGCCGCTACTACCCTATCGCTATGGCTAAGCTCCTTCTCTCTCGCCCACTTCGTCCTCCGGCTCACTGCAGACCACCTCGCACAAGTCGCTATGACAGCGCTTCCGCATGGCTCATGCAGGAATAAATGAACGACTGGGCGCTGCCTCTTGATTTATACTTCTGCAGCTTGTTGGTCTGGCCCTTTCCCATGCCCGTAGTGCACACAGTCCCATGCGGCACTTGCTTGACTGGACTAGGACTGACTGGGACTGGGACTGCTGACTCAGCACAGGTACACTCCGCCACTTGCCCACTTGCCTCACCACTTGCCCAGTTGCCTCAGCCTAAACATGGGCAACTGCGAAAGGCCACTACTCGGACCTTCCGGAAGGCCGTAGACTTGGCCTTTCGATACTGTAGCAGCTACGACCTTGACCTTTCTGGGCTGTAGCAGCTACGACCTTGACCCTTCGGGAAAACTACAGCAASGACTTCTAGACCTGACTAGGACTCCTACTCRACAGGTGTACAGATCAAACTTCTGCTACCTATGGACCGTACAACAGTCTACCAACTGTTACAAATACACAGGTCACGGGTTCAACTCTAGGGGTCGACACAGATACTGTACACAGGTAAGGTGGGGACTAGGGATCGAGCCCTGGGTCTGCATCGGCTACTGCGAACTGGTGAATACCGTTTCACTCCCACCGACCTAAATTCGAGGTCCTCCGAGAATAACTCAGTCCAAGGCAGGGCCTTTACCTTTCTTGTCTCTCTCGTAGACTCGAACTATGTCGGGAGCTGTCTCTAGAAGTTCTGTTCTAGTGAACCAGTGGTCGTCTTCCGGTTCCTGATAAGCAAACCGGACCTTATACTGCTTCTGCGGACGGCCTCTACCTCCTGTTCTGAACACATCTTCACCTACAATGCCGTCAATGTCGTATCTCCCGTCCATGTCTGGGGTGATCATGGATCTCGTAGATGGAAACTGTTGACTCGTGACACACGGCAGCAACTTTGATGCATGAAATACAAGGTAGGTGTGGAGGTGTGTTGGAATCTCTATGGTGTAGGACGGTCCATCCTCTCCGCCCTTAACTTCTAGGACTGGCCACGGTCCTCTATACGCGGGCAGTAACTTCTGCAAGATTTTCTCCTCAGGAGCAAACTCTTTGGACTTGACCCAGACCAGGTCGCCTACCTGAAACTGCGATGGGCGACGGTGCTTATTAGCCTGTTCTACCATTCGGTGCTGGGCCTTCCTGAGGTTCTCAACAATAGTGGCTATTTCTTTCTCGTGCTGTATCGCGAATTCCCTGGTACCGGGCGGTAGCCTATGAATCTGATCCCGGTTAAGTCCCTCGAACGGTCTACGTGGTCTAAAGGACTTGTGCAACTCGTTGGGAGTGCGACAGGTGGACAAATGCACGCTGTTATTGTACGCACTGGCTACCTTGGGTAACATCTCATCCCAGTTAATCTGATCAGGTCTAATGTACATGCGCAAAACTTGTTGCAGGATCTTGTTCATCTGTTGTGTCTGACCGCTAGTCTCTGTATGGCGGCCAGATGACATCAACAACTTAGATCCATATCCTCAGTTCCTGTCAGTTCTGGCTAGTAAAACGTGTATCTCTATCACTAACAATAGACAATGGGACGCCATGCTCACTAACCCAAAAATCGAAACGCTTCTGAATTACTAACTCTGTAC